CGCTGCAGCGGGAGCACGAGTCGAAACGGGCGGAAGCGCGGAAATGAGGCCAGCGCTGCAGCGGGAGCACGATTCGGAACGAGCAGAAGCACGGAAATGAGGCCAGCGCTGCAGCGGGAGCACGATTCGGAACGAGCGGGGCCCGAAAATGAGGCCGGCGCCTCGGCGAGAGCAGCATTTTTAAAAAAGTGCAGGCGAAAACCCAACTCCCGGGAATCCTGTGTAAAAAAACAGTACGCGGGGGGGGTCGAACACTCCCAGCACGTCATCAGGGGAAGAGGGAGAGTAGTACTCATATTGAGTAATTGTGGAGGAGGAGGAGGAGGAGGAGGAGGAGGAGGAGGAGGAGGAGGAGGAGGAGGAGGAGGAGGAGGAGGAGGAGGCGCGTTCGGCCCGTTTGCCCGTCGCACCGCCAGGTCGGGGCAGTCCCCAGGGTGCCTTCAGCGTCAGCGGCTCGGTCCCGCGCGCCGTGCGCCCCACGGCGGGCGGGCCTGCCGCCGCGTTCGCCGAGGCCGCCCCGTCCGCCGAGAGGCGCGGCGACAATGGGGCGGGCCCCTGCAGCGGGGGCGGCGGCTGCGGGAGCAGCGGCGCCGGGGGCGGCCGTAGGGGAACGAAGAATGGCATAAACAGAAAAACTCGGAGGTCCGCGCGGATTTCTCCGATCCGCGCTGGGGCCCCCCTGGCGGCGCCTCCGGCGCCGCCCCTGGCGCGCTCCGCGCGCCAGGGAGGGGGGTCCAACGCGGATCCGAGAAATCCGCGCGGACCTCCGAGTTCTCATGTTTTTGTCATTTTTCGTTCTCCTATAAGCCGAGTCGCCAGGGACGCGGCGGCCGGCTGGGCCAGCGGGGGGCGCTGGGTCGCTGTCTGCAGTCGGGATTCGATCCCGTTGGACAGCACTGCTGGCGGCTGCCACCGTCCCTCGGCCGAGGCACCGTCCTTCACGGACATGCCCGCCCGCGCGTGCCGCTGGGCGCATCACCGCGGGGCCCAGCACATCACCGCGAGGCCGCTCCAATCGCCATATGCATCGGCGGCCGGGTGCGGGCGGTGGGGGGCTGAGCAGCGGCGTTTGTTCCAACAAAATGGCTACGGAAGATGATGATGATGATGATGATGATGATGATGATGATGGTGGTGGTGGTGGTGATGATGATCATGATGATAATGATAATGATGATGATGGTGATGCTGATGATGATGATGATGACGATGATGATGCTGATGCTGATGATGATGCTGATGAGGATGGTGATGCTGATGATGAGGATGATGATGATGAGCATGATGATGATGCTGATTATGGTGATGATGATGGTGATGCTGATTATGATGGTGATCATAATGATGCTGGTCATGCTGCTGATGATGAAGACGATGATGATGATGATGCTGATGCTCATCATCACTATCATCCTCGTCCTCATCCTCATCATCATCCTCCCACTCCTCCTCCTCCTCCTCCTCCTCCTCCCTCTCCTCCACCTCCCTCTCATCCTATGATCATCATCAGCAGCATCAGCATCAGCATCACCATCGTCATCGTCATCATCATCAGCATCATCATCATCAACATCATCATCAGCAGCAACATCAGCATCCTCCTCCGCAGCATCACCATACTCATCATCATCAGCATCCGCATCATCATCAGCAACATCAACATCTCATCGTAATCCTCATCCTCATCCTAATCATGATGATGATGCTGATGATGATGCTGATGATGATGCTGCTGCTGATGAGGATTGTGGTGATGATGATGATGATGATGACGAGCATGCTGATGATGCTGATTATGGTGATGCTGATTATGATGGTAATGATAATGATGCTGGTAATGATGATGATGATGATGATGATGATGATGCTGTGGGCAACTCTCGAGGCCAGGGGGTCCCTTTTTGTGCAAAGGACACGGCAACAGGCGAGGGCGGCGGAAGTATGCTGGCGCCATGCACCAGGAAAGGCATTCTAGAGCGGGACAAAGGGTGGGCGGGAGAAGCTTGAGAATGGTAGTGCGGCCCGAAAGAGAGCCACAAAAAGCCGCGGACAGCAATATGTGGGCAACTCTCGAGGCCAGGGGGTCCCTTTTTGTGCAAAGGACACGGCAACAGGCGAGGACGGCGGAAGCATGCTGGCGCCATGCACCAGGTACTTAGGCTAGCCCATCACACTGGCTGAAAGCCGCATTGACTGAATTTTCACATAGCTTTGATCTGCTGAGCGACGTAGCGAAGCGAATCAACACTGAGAGCCATCCTGTCGCAGGCACATCTTAGAACATCGACGGGGGGCCGCAGCGCTTTGCTGCGGACCTGACGATCTAGAGATGGGATGCCGAGCTCGCCAAGATGTCGTTTCCCAGATCGACAACAGAGCGAGTCGGCAGGCGAACAGATAGCAGAAAGAGAACTCATGTCCTTCACATGCCAGCTCACCAATCGAAATCTCCTCTTTACACGGCCAGCAAACATACATGCATCCAAAGCAGCAGCAGACGAACACTGGCTAACGAGAGCGGCGCAGGCTGGGACATCCCAGATAAAAGACGCATCTGGATGACACAGCGTGGCAGGAACTTTATTGCTGCTACATAGTGACAGGAGGCGCACGTACTGACTGCAAAATAGATTCGCAATGTGAATTGATCGAAGCTGGGCACTAGACAAAATCGGCAGGCCGTTGGGACGAGCTATGCTACGGACAGCGGGCTTCTGAGGAAGCCAAGTAGTCGTGTCGGGCTCCACCCACACGCACGAAATCCACCCTGCACGGATCCAGCCTAGCACACGCTTCATCACTAAAGGATCTGTGATGTCATCAGTGGCCTGGCGTCTCACGCCCAAGTGCAGCACGCCGAAGCCGAGGCGCTGCAGCGCGCGAGCCGCGCCGCCGTCGCCGCCAATCACCAAAGCGGGCAGGTACCTGGACCGCGTCGCCGCGCGTCTGGCTGCACGCCAAATCCGTGTCAGGCGGAGGCCCACCGCGCTGTCACTTGCGGAGGCGGATGCCTGACCGCTGGCGGTGTCGGCGTCGCGGCAAGCGGCCGTCGCAGAGAGAAGACGCCCGTGGTGGTGGTCTGCAGCATGAGATCGTCCATCAGCGAGTCCACCCCGTGCCCACGGCCGATCGGGATCTGGTCTAAAGTGGCAATCTGCTGCAACACTCGAGCCCTCTTGGTGTGGCGGGAGAGGCTCGGGTCCGTTCTCCACTGGGCGCGGTCCTTGACCTCCTCCCTGGTGCGACGACGAGGTAGGCAGTCGTCGGCCGCACCCCCACGCCGATCCTCTGTCTTCCCAGGGCGATCGAAGCAGGCGCCGTAGACGATCAGGGCCAGACGTCCGTATCCGAGAGTGGCATCGGGTCTTGGTCGAAGAACGCCGCCCGCTGACAGGCGATAGGCCGCGTTGGTCGTCGGGTAGGTGTCGATCATCAGCCGGATGAACACTGCCATGCCGAAGAGCTTCCACGAACCGAGGACGCCCACCATGGAGGCCATCGCCGCCCGTGGAAGAGAGGGTCGCATCTGCGGGGGCGCGAGCTTCCGCCAGCCTGTCAAGGCGCGAGCCGCACCCGTGGACAGCGCCGTGCCCGCCATAGGCGGGCGCAGGTAGTGCTTCACTGAGGCGAGCATGACTTGGCCCGTAGCATCGTCGAAACTGACCAGAAAGAGGTTCACGAAGTAGGTAACTAGGATGACAACGACCTCCGCCGCTGTGGTGATGGTCTGGAACGTCTGACGGCTCCACTCCTCGAACTTCTTGACCGCGCCCCAGTCGTTGACCATGGTCGTGTCCGACACGGCGGCTGACTCGACGACCGAGAGCGCTGCCTGCCCGAGCCGTTCTGGCTTTGGCGGCGTCTTGGTCCTCAGCTCCGTCGACGTCGAAGCTCGGTGGCGGCAAAGCTCGGGGGGCCGCCGCCTGGTACTCCTCAAAGGTCGGCCCGACAAAGAAGCCTGTCCTCGACGGTGAGTCAGCGGCATTGCTTTCGCTAGGGATCCATCGCACTGCGTGACGAATGCCTGAGGCTGCCGACAGGGCGCATAGGCGACGTAGCGGATCACGAAGCCCTCGGGCGCCAGAACGTCCCTTGCCAGCAGCGAGGGCTAGAGCCAAATTGTCGACGGTGAACAGGATGCGATGATGCCGAAGCCGCCCAGACCGAGCCGAGTGTTGCATCGCAAATCCGAGAGCCTCCGCCTCGTATCGCATGATGTCCAGACCGAACCTAGCATGACGTGCGCTGCGTATCGTAGCCCAGCCGTCGAGAACCGCGATCGAGTCGGGAAGCTCGTCGAAGCCGTCCAGCGAAACGTCGTCGATCCCTCGATGTGATGATGATGCGGTAAGCGGGGGCTTGCTATGGGTCTCGGGAGGCCTCGGGCACTGCTCGCAATCTTTGAAGCAGTTTTTGCTCACGGCCGCTTCCAACACAACATTCGGGTCGACTCCCAAAGCGTGCGCACGAGCGCGCACGGCGTCGGAGAAGCGGTAGCGCCATCTCTCCGACAATCGCCCTGCGGCTGCAGCCACGTCCTGCTCAACGGTCTTGCGACAGACGCCAATGCCGTAGGGAGAGGCGTCGCTGCAGAAAGTGGTGGCCGCCCACTCTGCCCTGACATCAGCCCACCACAAAGGGATGAGGGAAGCAGCAGCGCGGAGCTCAGCGACGACTGACGGCCACAGCGGCAAAGCCCGACGGGAGTCCTGACCCATGAAGCGGTAGACTGCATGGAAGATCGACAGCATGGGCCTGTTGGTGATCATCCCCCAGGTGCAATGACCGACCACGGCGGACAGCGCAAGCGGCGATGCATAGCCTCGTCTGAGTAGACCGAGGAGGGCCTGGCGCAGCCTGCACAACCGGTCCACCTTGCACCTGATGACGCCCACGTCGCCCAGGATGTCGAGGCCTGTGAAGATGACGCGAGGCGCCGCGGGGGCGAACTCGTCCACGGGCAGGCCCCTCGCCACCAGCACGTCGCGGATGGCCTGGCACGAAGCGGTGGCAACCTCTGGATCGAGAGACACGGTGGCGAAGTTGTCCACGCAACCCGCTGCGATGACGTCGGTATCGTTTCGCAGAGGACGAGGTGCTGCACCGTCCACCAGCATCGCATCGTCATCGATCCCCGCGTCGCGAATGGCCGCGGTTAAAGCCGACTGGCAGAAGTGGAGAGCCCACGACCAACCCATCGGCATCACTGACACGAACGGCTGTAGAAAGGCCTTCGTCGGGATCTTGACACCATTGATCACCTTGAGACCCACGTGCCGATTCGGGACCACTGGCAAGGAGAAGTATCGGTGCAGCTGGGGCGGCAGCTTCATGTGATAAAAGGCGCACTGGATGTCACCCTGCGCCACGTAGAAGTCATTCGACGCCTCGAGGGCACTCCATGCCGACGGAGTCGGCAATCTCGTAGAGGGAGGGGCAGAGAAGGACATGTTGGCCACCCGCGTATCAAAAACGAGCCGCAGGTTGACGCCATTCGACTTCTCGACGAAGAAGAAACCTGTGGAGTACGCCGCCTGACGTTCGGCGACTTCCCACTCTAGCATGCCCGCCTGATCCAGGCGCAGCAAAAAATCAGCATACTCCCGAGGGCGAAACCGCAGGCGAGGATCCACGTATGGCGACCCGATGCCCGAGTTCATCCTGAGAGCGGCTGTCTCCGCAGGGTCACGTAGCATTTGTTGCCTCCACCCTGACAACGTTGAACGATCGGCGTCGGACACGAGATCGGCCGTGGGAACGGGGGCCACGTGCTTCGGCCAGGAGACGAGCTCCTTGTCGTAGGGTCTTACCCGAGACTCACCAGAGTACCCCGGCGCCGACGCGAGCAACTCTGCTAGGGCTGCCTCGCATCTGGTAGGAGATTCGGAATATCCAGAGGGGAGTTCAAAATCGCGAAACTGTTGAGCAAGGCACTCTTCAGCGTCGCTGCGAGCGCGTGGAGGAAGACCTGGAGGCGGAGCAACCATGTCATCAGGGTCATAGTGGTGCATGTCGTTGAGGGTGGACACAGCATCGTTGTACCACTCTCTCCAGGCAGCACCTTTTGCAGCCCGTCCGCGGGCTGAACCTCCCATCGACGCGATACCAGATCGCCGCTCCACAGGGATAGGACGGAGAGGGAAAATGTCTCGCTGCCGCCATTGATGAGCAGCGATGGGGCAATGTGCCTGACTGGCGCCACTGGAGCGCGCCCCGCAGCCAGGCCTGGACTTCTCAGACGTCATGGCGCCCGCAAGGCACGCTCCTCACGTGCCTTGCGACGTTCTTTGCTGATGGCGGCCTCCGCCCGCATCTGATCTGCAATGTACTCAAGCAGCCTCGGCGAGATGCACAGGTTCGCCTTGGAGACGCCCGCGCCGAGGAAGTAGCTCGTCTCGGGGATGCTGGAGGCCGCGGCCGTCGCACCACTCCTAGCTCCAGACTTGGCCTTGGGAGCGGCGGCCGTCTGGGGCAGCGACCGACTCTCGTACACCCGCTCCTCCAGCAGCTGGAGCTGACGTGCGACGATCTCGAACGACGCCATCTCTGCCACCTGCAGCTGATCGTAGACCACGGCGAGGTCCAGGACCCGACACAAGGTCTCGTGGAGCTTGGCGTGCTCGTCGTCGTCGGCCAACGCCATGGACGTGAGCCAGCGCTGATGCCACGCGGTGGGAGTTCCCGCCATGGTGGACATGAAGGACAGGCACCAGAGAAGCGTCCGTGGGCCCTGGACTGGCCAGCCCTGCACCTCGGTCTCGGAGAGGCCGTTCACCGTCTCGCCGAACCTCCGCTCACGCTCCCCCCGCATGTTGATCGCCATCGGCAGCACCCTGAAATCGCCAGCGGGCGCGGGGAGCGGAGCGACCGCGGCAGGACCGCCAGCAGCAGCTCCAGGCACGTGCGCCAGCGGCGGCGCCGCGGCAGGGCCAGGTGGCACGGGTCCCAGCGCAGCGGCGAGCGCCGCGACTCCTGGGACGGCGCCAGGCGGTACGGGAGCAGCAGGACCAGCCGCAGGTGGAAGTGCGAGAGGCGGCGCCGGCGGCGCCGCGGCCGCGGCAGCAGGGTCGGCCAGAAGGACGGGTCCTGGAGGCGCGCCCGCCGCATCGGCCGCCGAGAGAGCCAGAGGAAGAGGATCTGGTGGCATTGGGTAGCCCGCAGCCACAGAGCGACCCACGGCGGCCCACAGCTCCGCGGCGGACGGCAGGCGCCGAAAGCGATGCACGGCGGCGCCGACCAGCGCGGGAGGCGTGTCGCCCTGGCCAGCCAACGGCAGCACCGCCCGCACGTCGGGCCCAACCACAATCGGCTCGTCGTAGTCGTCGAAGTCGGGCGTGACGACGTAGGCGAACCCCGCTGAGACCCCGAGTACCAGACGCTCGTGCCACAGGGCCACACCGCCGACGCGGTAGCGTATGGCGTGGAAGCTCCCCGCCATCACTGCAGCGCTGGGGCTCTGGCGCGAGCAAGACGCACCTGCTCGGCAGCGAGGACGGCGATGTCGATCACCTCCGTGGGCAGCTCGCCGACCGCAGGCTCAAGAGGCGGTGCGAGCGCGCGGCGCGCCAAGAAGGCGCCTGCCACAGCGCCGACGGCGAGCCCGACCGTGCAGGCGGCCACCGCGTAGGCCGCCACGAGGCCCGCGCACGAGGGCTCCACCACCTGGCCGCCAGCGCCCGCGCACACGCAGGAAGGGCAAGCCAGGGCCGGCGGCGCAGGGCACGCCAAATGCGGGGAGCAGTTCCCGCAACTGGGTGCAGAAGCGCGCGCCACCAGCGAGGCCCCAAGCGCCTGTGCCCCAAACCTCAGGACGTCCGCTGCATGGTGGGCGAGGTCCTGCATTCCAGGCAGGACACCTGAGAAGCTTGAGAATGGTAGTGCGGCCCGAAAGAGAGCCACAAAAAGCCGCGGGCAGCAATATGATGATGATGATGATGATGATGATGATGATGCTGATGCTGATGATGATGCTCATCATCATTACCATCCTCGTCCTCTTCCTCATCCTCCTCCTCCTCCTCCGCCTCCCCCTCCTCCTCCTCCCTCTCATCCTATGATCATCATCAGCAGCATCAGCATCAGCATCAGCATCATCATCGCCATCGTCATCATCAGCATCATCATCATCATCACCACCATCATCATCATCAGCAGCAGCATCATCAGCATCCTCCTCCGCAACATCACCATCATCATAATCATCAGCATCAGCATCATCATCAGCAACATCAACATCCTCATCATCATCCTCATTCTCATCCTATTCCTCATCCTAATCCTGATCCTTCTTCTCCTCCTCCTCATCATTGTCATCACCACCGTCATCAGCATCATCATCATCACCACCATCATCATCACCAGCATCATCATCATCACCACCATCATCATCATCACCACCATCATCATCATCAGCAGCATCATCAGCACCCTCCTCCGCAGCATCAACATCATCATAATCATCAGCATCAGCATCATCATCAGCAACATCATCATCATCCTCATCATCCTCATACTAATCATCATCCTCATACTAATCCTTCTTCTCCTCCTCCTCATCACCATCATCACCACCATCATCAGCATCATCATCATCACCACCACCACCATCATCATCATCACCACCACCCCCATCCCCATCCCCATCCCCACTCCCATCATCATCATCATCATCATCATCATCATCATCATCATCATCATCATCATCATCATCATCATCACTATCATCATCACCATCACCATCACCATCACCATCACCATCATCATCATCATCATCATCATCATCATCATCATCATCATCGCTGGGATGGCACACGACATCCACAGAGCTGGTCCGTGACGACCTCGACCTCCACCGCGACCACCTCATGGTTGTCGGTTGTCGGGCGCCGCCAGCTACCATCGAGGGCCTCGTCGAGCCGGGGCTGGACTGGGCGCCGTGGCGCGAGGTGGCGGACCACCCCTTGGAGCTGGAGGCGCTCCGCCGCGGTCGCGCCCCCGCGAGGCGCGAGGAAGGCCTCGGCGCGAGCGGCGGCGCAGGCTCCTGGTGAGGAAGGCCTCGGCGCGAGCGGCGGCGCAGGCTTCTGGCGAGGCAGGCCTCGGCGCGAGGGGGCAGCGTGCGGCTCCCTGCGGCCCGGCAGCGCCACGGGGAAGCGGAGGCCTGCGGCCTCGGCTGCGCGGGCGCGCGGGGGCGAGCCCGCCCGCCGCCCGCGCCCTCGGCTCGCCGCCCGGGGGGCCGCGGGGAGGCGGGCACCGTCCTGGGCACTGGGCGTGGCGCGGCCCTGCGCCGGAGGGGCCGCGCGGCCTCCAGCGCGGGGAGGCGCCCAGCGTCGCGGTGCTGACTACCTACCAGACCACCCCAACCCAACCCGAAGGCACGAATTTGACCCGAAGTTCGGATTGGGGGGGGTACGGGGACCATGTGTTTTTTCGACGTTCCCCGATCCCCCCCCCACTGGAAATGGAGGGCAAATTGAGGCCTTCGGGTTGGGTTGGGGTGGTTTGGTGGGTGGTGAGGTGCTGCAGGAGGCGGAGGCGGCCAGCCCCCGCAACGGCAGAGGAGCACTTCACCCGGTCGCGAGGGCTTCCGGCTGGTCAGAGGCCAGAGGCGCCGCAACCCTTCTTGACCAGCGTCGTTGGCCGCGCGGGCAGCCTTCCGGGTGGCGTCATGGTGCGAGAGGTGTTCCTGGATGGCTCGGCAGTGCGCACCCGCGATCGCCAGCTCGCACGAGCAGGTTGGGCCGCGGTGACGACGTGGGCCAACGGTACCGAGCGCATGGTCATGTGGGGGAATGTGCCGTGGCCGCTCCCGCAGGACAGTGGCGCGGGCGAGCTGGAGGCCGCTGTCATGGCCCTCCGGCATTGCATCGGTCCGATCATCTTATACACGGACTCATCCCTGGTTTGTGACGGATGGATCACGGGGATGCGGTGGCGCACTGCGCGGGCGAGCTGTGGGGCCAGTCCTGGCGGCTCGGCGAGGACCACGGCAGCGGCAACATCAGCGTCGGGAAGGTACATGCGCACTGCACGGAGCACGACGTCCGCGAGAGGCGCATCTCCGACCGGCAGTGCCTGGGGAACGCTAGGGCCGACGGTTGAGCGAAGGAGGGCGCCAACCTCCACGCGCTCCCGCAGGAACGGCTAGACCTCATCGAACCGGCGGACGACCTCGCCCTGGAGCTGACCTCGTGGATGGGCACGGCCATGCCGGAGGGCGCCGCGCCCCTCATGGCGCCCAACGGCCACGCAGCCCCGGGTCTGGCGGCCATCGGATGCGCCTGCCCTGGGTGCCGCCAGAGGCCCAGCGCTGGTTACGGCGTGAAAATGGGCCCGCGGTGCGCGGTGCGAGCGTGCGACCGCCACACCCTGGTGCGTTCGAAAGACAGGCGCTCCAACACTGTGTCGATGCCGACCGTGTTTCTTGCCGCGGCGTCGCTCGCGTGGGAAGGAGGTGCTCCCTCCTCTCTCCACAAGCCCTGCGCCGAGGCCAGGAGTGCTCGCGCGCGGGCCCATGGGCGCCCTCCCCGTCCCTGTCCCCTGCCCCTCGTCCGCAGACTCCCTGGCCCCACCTCGCGTCCACTGTCCTCATCCCTCGCGTGCCTCGCTCCCCCCTATTCCCCACCAGCCCTCCCCCTCCGTCTCCGGCGCGTCCCGCTGCCTCTCTTCTTGCCCCTCCTCCTCCTCCCGGCTCTTGCGCTCCCCCTCCTCCTCCACTTCTCCCTTCTCCTGCACCTCCGCCTCCTCATCCTTAGCCTCCTCCTCCTCCTCCTCCTCCTCCTCCTCCTCCTCCTCCTCCTCCTCCTCCTCCTCCTCCCCCCTCCTTCTCCAGCTGCCGCCCCATCCTTCTCCTCCTTCGCCTCCTCCCCCTGCGCTCTTCCCTTCTCTTCCTCGCACTGGCCCGATGCCCACATACACGGTCAAGACCACGGCTGTGCAGCCTCCACCACTCCGTCGACGTCCCTGCTGTTGCGCTCATCTTCCCTTCCCAATCCTCGAAAAAACGGGTTCTGAGGGAACCGGGTCTTGCCCCCCGAAGCCCTCCCCCAAGACCAGGCCTTCATCCGGGATATTTCTTCCGACCATCCCCTGACCCGTGGAGGGCCCCAGGAAACCCACCATCGGCGAAGAATATCAGGACCGTTATCCCCGGGACCCGTCTGCTTCGTGGCGGGATGCTTAGCCTGAGATGTGGCTCTGTCGCAGATGAGCTCGCGGGGAGAGGTGCAACAGCATTAGGTCGGGCATGTCCTCCTACAGGCGGATTTTGAAAGAAAAACGAAACATAGCCAAACAAATACCCCAGAACAGTCAATCATAGTCGAAGCAAAGTCCCCTGCATATGTTTGCGACTATGTTAAAAACATTCCTCCTGTAGAGGGACATGCCCGACTTAACAATAGCATTTGCCGTATATGGTGCCTGGATGCGATCATTGGCGCGCTGGAGTAGCTACGCGTGGATGTAGTTGTAACTTTCCTCACACGCAATCGCTGTCGCCCGTGCAATAAATAGTCCGCGCGCCCCCACAAAAGTTACGTACTGTTGCACGGAATCGTAAACGTAATACTACACAATCCCACTACTCCAGCTCAGCGAAATCCCCACAACAAAATAAACAGACCCGCTTCCTTCATGTCGAAAACTGACAACACACACACTGTTTAGCGAACAGCCCTTCAGCGCAAGCTGCTGGGACAGTCCACGGGTGCGCGCGGCACCGAATCCCGAAGGCACCCAGGCGGAATCACAAACCGACGCACAAAAACAACCGAAAGCCTGCGGCGAAACGCACGCCGATGAGCGAACCGACCTGGGACCGCTCCGGCACACCCAAATGCAAATGGCAATTGAACCCGTGCAGGTTATCGCAGTCGACATGTCTGGGTGGGCGGTCTCTCCATGCCCGAGCTTCCCTCATGGCGACGACCCTCCTCTGGCATGAGGGGCAACGATGGGGGGGTGGGCATAGGGGGGGGAACATCGACTTAGAATGGGCGATACATCGCCGATAAGGTGGCGATAGGCGCCCGATAGCAAATCCGCACCCCTCTGGGCAGGTCGAGGCTATCGGGCCCCTGCCGCCGATTAGCGGGCGATTGGGGGTCGATGCGCCCCCCTGTGCCAGTCCCCCCCCCCCTATCGCTGCTTCCGACGGCATACCCAAGATCCGATGTAGTTTTTTGGGGGTTTGTTTGATAAAAAATGCGGCCCCTGGAAGTCTTGACCCATTCCCCAGGACCAGTGTTTCACCCTGCATCGTTGTGTGACGCTCCCGAGGCCCTGCGAGGGCCCCTATAGGGGCCGAAACTTGCGAAACACCTCCGTCTTGTCTTTAGGGCCCCTATCGGGGCCGAAATTAGCGAAAATCCTCGGTCTTGTGTTTGTTCAACGCGCTGGACCTCTGGGTGGCGACGACCCGCCTCCGGCCCCCGAGCACGGACACTCCGCCGGCGCCCCGGGCGGCAGGCGCTGGGCGCCGCGCTCCCAGGCGGGGGAGATGACGTACCCGCCGAACAGGTAGATGGGCGGCCCCGGGACCTCGCGGGGGAGCGGCGGCGCCGCCGCTGCCCCCCCCCCCACTCGGGTCGGGCGAAAGGGGGGGATAGCCAAGGGGGGGTTTGAGAATGAGCTCACGTATAGCTGATTTTTCCAGCGCCTCCCGGCGCCGCAGGCGCCCATGTACCGAGAAATGGGCCCGGCGGTGGGGCCGAAACCAGCTGTATGCAGCAAATGTCGTAATCCCCCCTTTCCCAATCCCCCCTTCGTTCGGCCCGAGCCGCTGCCCCCCGCACCCTCCGCACTTTTTTGTGCTGGCGGCCGGGCAGAGGTTCATCATTGCTCCG